AACGAAAATTTAGGTTGGACAACATAAAAGAAATCTGCATGGAAAGCAAGAATAGAGCAAAACATTATCCAGTGTTACACTATCATGCTATATACATTTTCAACTAAAAAAAGTCTAAATTTATGTATAAAAATATAGTTGCATTTATTATAAAAGTAATTTTAAACATACATTACCACTTGCGTTAAGTTAAATTGCTACGGATGAAATCCGTTAATTTGAAGTGAGTTTTTCGTTTGAAGTGCAAACAAAAAGGGAAAGGGAATTTACTGCTTTCTCTAAGATAAATATTAGACAAAACAGTAATACATTTCATAAAGCAGTGGCTTCGAAAATTAGTTCAAGGTCATTTCCCCCATAAATTGCTTTAACAAGTTTAAAATGTTAAGAAATATTTTGGAAAATAGGGAAAGTCGATCTCAATGAAAAGTTCGTTAAATAGAAAATTCACTTCGTTGTATGAAAGTTATTTTACAAAAAAATTTCCAAAATGCTCTTGGTTCCTCGAAAAAATTCGTAAAATAGAGAAATTCGTAGAATGGAAGTTCGTTAAATAGAAGTCCGACTGTAATTATATTTAAATATATATTTACCAAGGGATACGCTTGTTCCTCATATTTAACTTCATATGTTTGCTCCCTTAACAACCAGCATTTCAAAGGAAAAACAAGTAAATTTATATTCTGTTTACATGGGTAAAATCATTAGAATTTTAAAGAAACATAGGGCGTATAAAAATTATCTTAATACTGAAGGCACTTTTGGGGTCATTTTGCTCATTTTTTGTCATTTATTATTTTGCTTTTGATGATACACTTCATATTCGAAGCTCACATTTGCTTACTTTTTCCAAATTGTGTCTACGTATACTGCATCAAAGTTTCATGCACTTTTGATGATTATTAAAGTAAATAATCATAGAACTATCTAAAACAGCCAAAAGGGGTCATCTTGACCCTCGTAGGAAAAAATCTCATTTTTGAAGTTTCTGACGGTGTTTGAGTTTGCAATATTTTAAACTTGGTGAAGAGGATGCATAGAACATGAATTTGGGTCTGCCGAGTAACAAAAATGTCACATAATAGTTTCCGTTAAATTATATGGCATCTTTGTTTAGATGTTCGAAGCAACTTAGTTAAACTCTTACTGAATTACAAATTCGATATTGCACCTGAAAGATACCATATACATCCTGATTATAAACAGTTATTTTTGTTATAATCTTGAACATGAAAACACTTGGTAAATAGTAATTGTTTGTAAGTCAAAATAAAAATTTATCGCATGATGAATGAGTCACAGACTTCAAGACTATATTTTCAATTGAACCAAAATTTTAAGAAAAAAATCTTTGATTGTTTATCCTTATTTGTTGAAAAACTGTCTCGCCTGAATCACAACTAAGGGAAAATATTGTGCTCGATGTATGGAATCACATCTAAACTCCGAGCATATCTGTCCCGCTAATTACAGATTTGCTTTATCTCAGCTTAATTTTGCTTTAATTTTCATAAGTTTGCTTTAATTTTCATAATCTCAGCATAATTTTGCTTTATCTCAGTAAAACGTGCAAATGAATTTTTTTTCGCCGAAAGAAATGCCCATATAATTTGGATTTTACGCACGAAAATAAATGTTTTTATATTTTAGCTTGTCTCTTCTACGTTATGATAATTCAAATTTTGTAGAGCAAATGGAAACAAAACGCTCAATATACAGGAGAAAAAAGAAAATAATGCCATAATTCTGAATAGTATTCATGTGAGTGTGTATGCAGACAACAGCGTAAAGTAATAGTAAAACTGACAATGACTGCAATGAAAGGAAGTGACAGACGAGTTCCTAAAGAATTGTTTTACGTTATTTAAAGCGTGAAAATGACTCACACTTATTTTTAATATCAATTGTGATATTGCTACTTCAGTGCGTGGATGGTTGTCGCAAAAATCATTCAACCTCATAATAACAAATTACGAGTTTATTCTTGAGCTTGTTAAAGAGATACGAACAAGTGTTTTGTGCATCAGAGATCCTATAATTAATAAGTTTTAAACTTTAAAATAACAGAAACACGCCATTTAACATTTTAAAACACAAAATAAAACTTCTGATAACTATGAGAGATGCTAGAAATTAATTTATCGATGCTTTGCTGTCACTTTCACTTTTCACTGTAGTAAGCCAGCATTAATGTCGAACTGGAAATGGCACTTCCATATTTCAAAATTTTGTTTTGTACTAATGCATATTGTTTATATTCGTATATTTTGATTAATTTCGTATGACTTGTCCTCCCCTGAAGGAATAATCTGTAATATAATATTGCAGTATATACTTATATTTTTATTAAGTCAAATGAAAAAAAAAGTACTCCTTTTTTAATTTCTAAAAATCCTTATATATTGTATTTTTAAAAATATTAATCAATTAAACATAATTTACTTTGGGTAAGACTCCAATTTCCCGAAATATTATTTCTTGAAATATTCACCGAGAAAGTATTGATTTTGAATAGTGAAGAAGAAACGGAGGTAAATGTCCCTGAAATTAGGAGATCCATATTTAAAATTTTAATTGATTTCAGATTCTGTAAATCAGATTGACAGTTTTTTGATAATGTGTGGTATCCTGAACAAATAGCTGATATATGAAATATCGAGTTAAAGGTAAAGTGCATTAGATTTGAGCAAAAGGTGAAAAACATTTTAATACTGGAAGAAGATTACTGCAAAAAGAGAGAAGAAATCTTGCATGAAAAAAAAATGCTCCTTCTCCTATAAAAGTCGGTTTTTTAGATTCTCTAAATTTTATTTTTAAACTATAACTAAGTAACACGGAATAAATAAGTAAATATTGAAATATAGATAACAGAGCTTATGCTTCAGTTTTTAATTTCTTTCTGCACTTTATACAAATACATTACTAAGAAAACCGGGTTTTTTCAGTTTTTGTTATGACATAGCACCTCGGTGAATTTTTTTTCATGATTATATTTTCTTAAAACACATTGAGATCGAGATTTAAGGATATGATTGGTTTGTCTTATTTACTTGTCAACCACTGCAGATTGAATTCTTAAATATATATGATGAATTTCTCTCAATTACTTTTAAAATAGAATTTGAGTTCATGCGCACGACCGGTTCGGCTTTTTTTATTAGTCTGCGCAGACTACTTATTAAATCTCGTGAGGAGGCTTTCTGATGTAGGAGGCGATGAAAAAAGACGCCAAAAAATAAATTTTTCCTGAGATTGGCAGAGCATAAAACTGAAAACCTACTATGTTTCATGGATATGAGTGATTGTAACTAGGCAGAGATATGTTAATAATAAAAATACAAAACTTTATGGTGTTGTTACTTTCGTTTGATAAACCCTCCAAAACATACATCGATTTTATTTTTACAGAATTGACTTAAAATTTAGAATTTTTTTCTGGCGAGGAAAAAAAATTTTAGCAGCTTAAATTTACATAATATTTATTTTTCATAACCTGCTTCAATATAAAAAAAAATAAAATCTATATAAAGATACAACTATCAAAATATTAGATTTTTGTCTGGTTTTTAAAATAATGGATCTTTAAATGCATGAATGTTCATAATTAGACAGCGATATACTATTAATATACTAAAACAAGAATTTGAGGTGTTATTTTCTTTTCTTAGATATAACACTTTAAACCATACTTGTATTTCTCCTTTCGATCGATGAATTTGTGAATTTTCTACGGGGGAGAGAAATTTTTGTTTTTGAGTTAAAAAAAAAACTTGTACAATATTCATTTTTCATTACCTACTTTATAAAAATTAAAATATTTATAAAATTCAACTATCACACATTGTCTTATGTTCAAAATAATAACTATTAAGTGCAACTGAAGACTTAAGTGAAAACTATGACCGACCTAAAAATTAATCATAAAAATATAGCGCTTATTGAAATAGCTTTCTGCTATGTTACTTACCGGCATGCTGGCTGACATTTTCTGTTGCAATATTTATTTTTTTCAGAAGGAAGAAATAAGGCCTTATTACCTGTTCAAAATAGGAAAAATGATTATTTAAAATATTCCCCTAGAAGACCCAGAGAAATTTGACTTAGCAACTAACAATGTGTTGTACTAATTACTACGCTTACTCTTTGGATTGAAGAATGCCTTAAGCATTGTTTAAAATACTATTTTTCAGACATCTCAACAAATTCTCTCAGAATTCTAAATAAATATAAAATCAAAATTGCCACAAATTATTTCGATGTTGTAGAGGAGAGAGGGCTAATGAGGAACCTGCATGTGTTAGTAATCACATAATTTTGATTACTTTGAATAGTCTATATCTTAAAAAATTAACTCACTTTGTTCAAAATCGACTTGAATTTTTTCAAATCATAACTTAAAATTAACATAAGACGAAATTAGCGTCACGTGCCTCAAATAGAGGCGGAGATTGTTCATGACGTCAGAATTCGAGGGGATGGGCAAACTGATTTAAGCGGAACAAAAACTTGTCACAGGGTGAAGCGATGTTGTTTACAAAAGAGTTTTAATTTAATTTTACTTTTCATAAAATTGTTCTAACATTTTGATATAATGCAGATAGAGAAGGATATTTTGTATTTAGAATTGATATTTCTTATTCAAAAATAACAATTTTATCATTCCGAAGTAAACTGGTTATGTAAACTGGTAATAAGTAAACTAGTTTATGCCTGGTGCAATATTTAAGATTAAGAATGCAAATATTTAAGATCAAGAATTGTAAGTTTTGACTGGAGATGCAAATAATTCTTAACCCCTTATTTATTTACTTTTATTTATTCTTAAAATCTTCTCCCCTGCAAAGCAACAAAAAATAAATAAGTATTCATTTGCAACTATTTTTCTTATCTGTAATTTTAAATTTATTCAATATAATTAACTGGACATGAAAGTTGTATTTTAAATTTCTATGCTATTATTAGCAAAAATGTGTTTGAAAAATGCATTTCGCAAAAAAAAATTCATAAAAAATTTACAATATATATATATATATAAACAGTGTTCGTAGGAATTTTGCATGGAATACATTGGTGAGGCTTCCATGGCAGGGATGTTGGGTTTTGGCACAGCCATGAAAATATGAAAAAGCCACGAATTTTTGCTGCTCCTGATATTTAAACTGTGATGTCTATTTTTGCTATGATGCCATAGTAAAATATCTTTTGCTTTTAAAATAAATATTTATAATGAGCCATTTTATTAAATGATATCAATTCATTCGAAACACATTCAAATCATAAATTTTTTGTAATTAGATTTAACTTACCTGGAGAGCACAATTGCTCCGTATGAGGAGCATACCATATGTCCGTTTTAATGCAACGACCTAGCGATTTCCACCTTTGTAATTTGCAGTACTCGATGCATTCCTATTTTTAAAAAAACTTTCATTTTCGTTCAATCAGAAACAAAATTTTTTTTAAATATTTTGGATTTATTTATAATTTTTTAGGAACTTTCACTTTGAGTCGTGTTCCAAAATATTGACAAATAAAAAAGTAAGAATATTGAATTTGTTCGCACTCGTTTGCATGTAGGTTAAATCCAATGAAGCTACTCCATTGCTTGGAATTTCTGTTATTTTCTTCATCACACTTTTACAATTTATAAGATTTTACTGTATTTTTTAAATTTTATGATGAGAAACAATAAATCTATTCAAAATTAGTAACTTGACATAAATAGAATGTAAGTGTTATGTTTCTTATCTTTAGTTTTTCTGATTTTTGCCAAAGATTTATTAACAGTTTGAAAAGAGGTCTATTGCATCACAAATCTATTGTAAACATTACAAAAATAATAACAATACAGAATAGCGCGGTTTTCATGCTTTGGCGTAAAAATAATAAAATGCGTATATGTATGTAAAAAAATATATGTAAAAAAAATGCGAGGAACTGCAAATTTGACCGTAAGATTTTGAGAAAAGACTTAGCTTTGAGCCCATTTTCGAAGCTTATCATACTAAACTTATTTTCCAATAAATATTTTGTAAGGATTCGTCGAATTTTATTTGTATATAAGTTTATCCTTTGTGTTTCAAAAAATAATTAATCATTTCAAATCCTAAATCATTGTCAAAATTCTGCTTTTATAAATTTTTTTATTAATTTCAATTTCCTATGGAAACAATTCCATCATTAATGACCTCATTTTATGTTGAAAAGAAATAAACTCATTTACAAAAGTTTTTAAATACTACAAACTACATATATTTTAGAGTTAAAGATTTTAAATCTAAAATATATGTAGTTTTGAAATCTGAAATAAATAGGCAATTTTCGGACCAATTTTGATGAGAAAAAAATAAGTAAAACGTAGAGAGAGGTTTAACATAATTTTTACTGTAATTATGAGAACAAACTTTTTCTTTTACGAGTATTTCATTATAAAGGGATAACCTCAAAGGAACCTTCTTAATGATTTCATCAATCCCAGAGTTGAAATCTGTTTGTACGAAAAATTTTATTGTTTGAAAACTAAAACGAGAAACAATTTAACTATTATAATTCGTTTAAGCTATATTATTATTAATTAGTGGCCCCAAGGATAAGGAAATGCGTTGGTATCCCCGTTAACCATACTGTGAATGCATTAAATTATATAGCCTAAATAATTTTTAGCAAAGTAGAGTATATATATATATATACCTTAATTTAAGCTAAACACAAAAAGTGAANCTTCTATATATATATATATATATATAGGAAAATAGATAATTTAAAAGACTTAGGCTGATTAATATAAAAAGGCATTTTATTGCGTAATATGGAGTATGGAAAACAGTGTTCGTGGAATATTTACATTGATGGTCTCCCCATTTCAGGGATGTTTGGCTTTTGGCCCGGATTTAACTAGCCATGGAAATATGTAAAAAGACACGCATTTTTGGCCGTCCCGGGATCTTAAAGGGAGGTTTTGAGAGGGAGTGGTTGCAAGGATCTTCTTATCTTCATGAAACGTCATTCAATTGATAAAATTTAGAGATTTTGATACGCTAAAAGGATAGTGCCTTTCTGGTTCTGGGAAGTTTTTGGGACTATCTTAATGTGTACTTCATCGACGAATTATTGCTCATTAACTTCAGAAAATAATCTTTTATCTAGCCTTATCTGGCTCATCTTTACTTTTTATGGCTCTTTGTGAGAGACCGACTTCTACATCTTAAACATATGTTGTTACATATGGCTTTATTGGAAATATTAATCCATATACAATGTTCAACTTTAAGTGGACTTAAACAGGGAGTAAAAAGGAACAAAATTACAATAACAAACACTGAAAACACATGACAAACACATATTAATACAAAAAGAACACATAGAAAAAAATTAAAGTAAGAAAAAAAATATAAATATAAACAGTGAAGAATGAGGAGTAGTCCTTACAGAGAGTTCATGTGATCTCTGGCATCCCAGTAAAGTTTACACAGATCACCCCGCTCTTGGGATTGTTTGTCCAGTAAAGGGCATACAAGCAAATGGTCTGAGTTCATGGTTCCCGAAATGCAGATTTGGCACTCGCTAGATGGAAGGACACCTATTCTGTTGAGGTGCTCTGCCAAGCAGTCATGGCCTGTTGAGAGTCTGAAGTTTGCCACAGCCTTCTTACGAGGACTGTGACAAAATTTCTCCAACTGTTTTGGATGTTAGCCCAGGGTTTTCCAGTGGAATTTACTGCTTGATTGAGCTTTAGGTTGGTCTTAAGCTTCTCAGAAAATTGTTTTTTAAGGGAGTTTGGTGGAATCGGTTTATTACATTGTGGTTCGAGTGTCCCTTTCTTGGCTAGTTGGTCTGCCTTTTCATTGCCATTGATTCCTACATGCGAAGGGATCCACTGGAACATAATAATTTTGTTGGCATTCTCGAGAAAAATCAAATTATCTCTAATATCTGAAATAGTCTGAGTATCTGAATCATGGTTTATGGCAATTGCCTGGATAGCTGCCTTAGTCGACAAGGATTACTGCTTTAGTGAAGTAATTGATCTTATTCTTAAGGTTTTCCAGGGCTATCGATATAGCGAAGATCTCTGCATCAAAATTTGACATATAGTTTCCCATAGGGGCGCTGTGAGAAAAGAGCTTACTGTGTACTCCTGCTACGGTGCTGTCTTGTATTTTTGAGCAGTCAGTGTACACTCTCGTCCATTCTGGTTCAGGGTATTGCTCTTAGCATGCATAATGCATTATATATATACAGTGGTGGCCAAAAGTGTGGACACTTTTTGAAAGTTTCATGTTTTTCAACTTTGTGTGCTTGTAGAATATATTAATTTTCCCTTAAATACAAACATTTATATATCAAATTGAAGGTAATTTAATGTAGAATTTAATAATAAATACAGTATTACAATATCTGTATTACAAAAAAAGTTATGCAATTAATAGTAAGATCTATCTTAGATTTGCATTTTTTTAAAGTGATACTTACACAATCAATACTTAGTAGGATAACCCTTAATTTTTAAGACAGCTTCACAGTGTCTTTTCATCAAGTGAACGAGTGTTTGGAGTTCATCTTTCGTAATCACATTGTGGCAAGAATCAATTAAAGCTTCAATAAGCTGTCTTTTATTGGATGGACGTTTTTTTCGTACAAGAATTTTCAAACGTCGCCACAAATTTTCAATTGGATTGAGATCAGGGCTGTTTCCTGACCATGGTAATATATCTATGCCTTTATTTTGAAACCATGCTTTGCATACTTTTTCTGTGTAGCATGGAGCTGAATCCTGCTGAAAAATAAATGGTGCGTTGTTGGAGAAGAGATCCCTGATGGAAGGTATCAATTTTGGTTTCAGGGCAGTTTCGATGTATTTTTTGGCATTCAGGAT